CAAATGTACCACTCTGGGGGGAATGTTTATGGTGGGGTGGCTGTGCCTGTGTGGGGGCAGGAGGCATACGGGAAATCTCTGTCCCCCCTCTCAATTTTGCTCTGAACCTAAAACTACTCTACAAAATTGCCTTTGACAAAAAAGAAAGAGCCGGTTAGGTGATCGTGGAAAAGCCTCCACAGTGCCAGGAATCCAGGCTCCTTTTGTCTTTTTTTTTTCTGTTGTTCACCATCTTCATCTCGTGGACCAACCATCAGGCTCACATTTCATCGGGGACAAAGGAGAAAGGAAGAGGAGGGGGACAGACCCCTCCCACCCACCCCCAACCCCCTTTTTACACCCACTTTCTATCATAAGTGGCACATCGCACTTCTGCTTGTATTGTGCTGGTGGGAGATTAAGTCACACGTACCACACGGGGCAAGGCCTCCATTCCACTACAACTCAGGTTCCCTCCTACCTAGGAAGAAGGACAGCAGGTATGGCAGGGCAGCTGGCTGACTTGCTACCATGTGGGAAGCTTGTTGAGTAGGGCCGGGCACATGATCAGTGTTTTTTATAATATTCTTGTTATCAGTAAATAAATAGTGTTTTCTGGAATTGCAATACCAGCACTAGGACCCTTTTTTCCCAAACACGGGCATCTCTTTAAATCTCATCTAAGCACGTATCCATGCTGAGGGTGTGGCCAGCACTGCGCACAGTTCTAGACCACGTGTTTTGGTGCGTGTGCACGTGTGTGTTTCACAGGTGGAGACTGGGGGTGGTTCTAAAGGTGAGGCAGGGATTTCCTGAGCCTCTGAAGGTAAAGCCTAAATGCTTTTAATGGCGTATAAAGATTGAGGTGTGCAGCGGGAGGTGGGCGTGTTTCAATGTCCGTTGTGCCGCGGACCCCAGCGTGCCTGTCATGGCCCAACCTTTTGCATCAAGAGAACATATATTTTAAAAGTTGAAATTCAAAAAGATCAACCCTCTCTTAGGTTCTCAGAGACGGAGGATCATCCCAGCGCTGTCCCTCGATACCCCCTCCCCCGTGAGGAAACCAGCCAACAGCACGGGGGTCCGCTGGGTGGACGGTCCCTTGCGCAGCGCCCAGAGGGGCCTCGGGGAACCTTTTGAGATTAAAGTCTATGAAATCGATGACGTGGAGCGGCTGCAGCGGCGACGAGGTGGCAATAACAAGGTGAGCTTTCTCTGCCCCACATGGTAGTGGTTCCCCCGGGGCAGGTCCTGCGGGCAGGGATGGGGGCAGCGCCCTGAAGAGGGGCCTCAGACCCAGGGAGACTGCGCAGCAGACTTCCGGTGTGGGTGGGAGGCAGCGGCTGTGTCCCAGCAGAGGACGCCCCCACAGAACTTCAAGAAGCTCCCTGTTTCCCTGCCTGGGACACCTTCAAGGTTCAGAGGCTGCGGGAGCTGGCAGTCTTGGGGGCTTTCCTGGTTCTGGCTTGGAACGCCAGCTGCTTTCTCAATCTGAGAAATTCCCCCTGATCGTCCTACCCTGTGGTTGCGTTGTCTGAGCTGTCACCACCGAAATTCGGCTGGGATGACCCAGGCCCCTCCCAAACTGCCCAGTAACCAACCAGCCCCTTCCCACTGACTGCGCATAAGCAGCCCTTTCTAGAAGACGGTGTGCGGGCGGGCTCTGCGCCGAAGGTTCTTTCCTCTTCTCTCCACCACCCATTTCTCCTCCTCGTCTGCCTGCCAGGAGGTCATGTGCTTCAACGCGAAGCTGAAGATCCTGGAGCACCGCCAGCAGAGAATTGCCGAGGTCCGAGCCAAATACGAGTGGCTGATGAAGGAGCTGGAGATGACCAAGCAGTATCTGATGCTGGATCCCAACAAATGGCTCAGCGAATGTAAGGCCTGAGGGTCATTTCTGTCACTGCGACTACCGGGTTCCCCAGTAAACAGCCTGGCATGCGAGCCAGGGTGAGACGGACCCAGACTGTGTCCATGTCCGAACCCCGGGGGCCTCCGATGCCCGTCAAATGGAGACACTCGCTCTGAGCGTGCAACCCCACTCCCTGGGGGGGCAGATGGGATTGGTGGGGACAGCAAGGGGGTGGTGAGTATTGCTCTTATAAGATCCTTTATGTGGCTCAGTCCAGAGAACTTGCATATGAGATTTTCCCCCCAGCGTGTGGCATAAGATCACCCAGACATGAAGGCTATATTACAAATCTGTTCCCAAGCCACAAAATCACATTGCCTATCTAGCCTGAAATAGACAAGAATTTATAGAGGTCTTCACAGGGTAGAAGGCACGATCCTAGAAAAGCCTCACTAAGGATCCAGAAAGCAAGAAAAACATTTCTGAGTGAAAAAAAAATAACATTCACAGGGTTATTTCCATTTAATAGAAAGCCTAGGATGACAGTAACCATCTAATAACAATTCAGAACAATTTTGCTGTCTTTGAAAGACGGATTCAATTGCCCCATATTTATTTGTTCCTCACCATTCCATTTACCACAAAATAAAGCTCCAGTCTGGTCTCAACTATTACACTGGGACCCAATGTGGGAAGACTCGGTACGTGGAGTAAGATGCATTATTGCCATTGAAATTCCTTTCCCTCTTTCCTGATCAGCCCCTCCGCCTTCACTGCACCTCCCACTTTTCACGACTGCCCCCGAAACGGGTCGCCCTCTGTCACTGTTCCCTGGCCAGTGCAGGGTGCATGGAAGGCAGGGTCTGGAGGCTTAGGTTTAGGAAATATTGGGTGAAATGACACTGGGTGAGGGTGAAAGGGACAGGCTCTTGTCAGCCTCCTAGCTGGGCCCTGCCACTTATAAAAATCTGACTTCTATCAGTTTCCTTTCCATAAGAATGAGGTCATTACACCCCCCTGCGAACCTCATTGGGCTCTTGTGAGGAGTAAATGAAAGAACACGTGGACACAGCACTGTAACCAAGCAGCCTACCATTTTCAGCCGTGAGCACAGTCATGCAGACCCGTTTTGGATGCTTTCCCACAGACTAGCTGTGGGGCCTTGGGTAAGACACTTAAGCTCTCTGAGCCTTGACTTCCTGAACTCTAAAATGGGATACGTAATGGTGCCTACTGGATAGGGCTGTTGTGAGGCGTGAGCCAGTGACTATCGGTCAAGTGCGCATTCCACTGCTTGGCCCGTGATGAGAGCTCAGTACCTGGTCATGGTTGTTGTTATTATTATTATCACCATCCCAGAGTTCAACAGAATAGATGTTCTCAACGGGAGACATGTCCTGAACGCCTACTTGCATGACGCACCGACTTAGGTGCCCTGTTAGAAATCTGGACAAAGGCGTAGACTCCAGCTCGCAAGGGCATTTTCATCCGAGGCACCGATGAGCAGACAAGACACGGAGGAGGACGTTCGCCAGCCTCTGACCACGGCACACAGGGGGCCTCGGGCGATTTCTCTCCCACCTGTGGATGCTCTTTTCCTTCTTTCATGAATCCCCAGGCACTTCAAGATCCCAGGGCGACCGTTTGGGCAGCGTCTCTTCATTTTTACCGTTATCATTAAATTTTTACTTTTTGAGAGCTGTTTACGCCTAAGGCAGGCTTGAAAATTGTCTTCATCTAACAAAGTCACATTTTTGCCCAGGAGAGACTCGTCTCCTTCTTGCCTTTGTGCATGTCAGGAATCAGTGGGTTTTGATGCTGAGAAAAGGTCATATGGAGGAGAAAGACGGACTGGTTCCTTAAGAGGAATGGAATCAAGAATGACCCCCTAAAAATATCAATGAGGCCGCAGGCAGACCACTGCCTGAGGGTGGGTAATAAAGAAGCTGGGTATTGGCATAGAAATATATGTGCTGGCATCTTGTGTAGTTTTATTTTTTAATTCTGATTCCCCCTTTGAGGTGGTCCGGTCATGTAGCCGGATGTGGCTGTGACAGTGTGGATTTTTTTTTT